GTAAAGTAACTAAGTACATTTACTCAAGTTCTGTTCTTAAGTTCAATTTTGAGAGACTTTTACTGTACTTGAGTATTTCAACGTGTTGCTACTTTGTACTTCTACCCCACTACAATTATGTAATACCTTTAGTTACTTTACAGATGTGGATGAATGATGTGAAATATAATCAAGTGTTAAATCAGACTTTAGTTCCACCTGGAGTAAATCCACAAGCTACCCTGCAGTATACAAAGTCATTCAAACTAGCTGCACCTTTACCAGCTTTGAGAACACTTTCATGATCAATCATTATAAAACATATCATATATATTATTCTGAAATGGACCAATCTGCACAATGACTACTTTTACTGTCGCTACTTTAACTATATTTTGATGCTAATACTTTTTTACTTTTACTTGAGTAACATTTTGAATGCAGGACTTTAACGTAACAGAGTATTCCTACACTCTGGTACTTCTACTTTTACTCAAGAACAAAATCGGAGTACTTCTCCCACCTCTGATATTTATAAAGAACACTTATTTTCTTCACTGCCAACATAACATTAAAACCGTTATGACAGTTAGCATGGCTCGCGTTAGCAACAACTGTTTCGTGATTTTACCGTGAAGTTATGTTTTGTTAGCTAAGTGTCAACTCTAAGAAACTAAAATACTGGGTAGTTTGAAATGAAAGATACCTGGTTAAAGCTTGGTTCTTGCTGTAGTTCCTTGACAAAGCACACAATAACACCTTGGACGAAGGACTTCAAGCAATTTGTTCAATGAGCACTGCACTGGTACTTCTACTTTTACTTAAGTACGAGATCTGAGTACTTCTCCCACCTCTGGGGAAAGCTTAAACACACTTCTAACCAACACTTAAATATGTAGCCACCAGGTCTCAGTGAGGGTTGGTAAAGGATATGTGTTCTGTCTTGAGAAGCTGCACCCTGCACACACTCATCTACCCTCTGCTGAGCACTGGAACACTGCATCAGGAGGCCAGCCTGTTGCAACAGCTCAGGATCAGCTCTGTGATAAATAGAGCAGCAGGTGTAGGATTGATATTAAGCCTGTGTGAAGTTCAGAGAGGCGGACGTTGTCATCTATTTCTGATCTCTATCTTTCAGTGTCACTCTCACTCCTCTCTCTTTCACAACCTTTCTCTCCCATACACACTTTGAGACGTGCAACATGAGAGGGAGGCTCAGGCCCCCAGCTCTTTAAAGGCCAACTCACAATATGGATTCAGTCCTGTTGGGAGTGAAGCTGCCCGTGTTGATCATTCTAGATTCTTGCCATTCATTTGTCTTATTTCTAATTCTGGCTTATGAGGATTTGTCTCTTATTTTGTGTTTGTTTCTATCAGTAAGGTTAAGTTGTACTCGCCAAAGAAATAACTATGCATTAAAACAGAATTCTGACTTGAATATCAGAACAAAAAGAAGTACATGTGACCCTAATCCTCTTCTGTATTAGTGCAATATGATTTATGATTATTATTATTACTGGCTGCTACTTCCTAGTAAGACTATTTAATACTGTACAATCTGTAAATAACTCTATACTTATATATACGAAATACTTTTACTTCTGCTATCTGGCTGCTACCACACTACTTTCTTCATGTTACACTTTTATATAGCTACTGCTACTTCTACTTCTTTTCTTTACCTTATTTTTAATACTATCCAATCCAATCCAACTTTATTTATATCGCACTTTAAAACCTCCAGACCAAAGTGCTGTACAGAGAGATACATCAAATATAAAATCACACAGCTCAGCTCACAAAACATAAAAATAAGTATAAAATCACATAAAAGATACGAACACAAAACAAACCAGAATAAACGTAACAATTACAAAATAAAAATAAAAACATCAAACGATGTACATGCCTGTAATAGTGCTTCACTGTAGGTTCACTTGAAGAGTTCGGCCTCGCACCCCTTACCTAAATTAAAGTATTTTAGTACTTTTTTCACTACTTTAGAGTTTTCAGGTCTTTGTGTATGTATAAATATATATATTTTGACAAAGCTGTCATGTTGTAATATCATAACAATCAACTTACAATAGTAATAGTTATGTCATCATAATCGATAGAACTTTAAACTACTAAAAAGGAATTATAACTGTTGATCATACAATTGTTTCTACTCAAGGTCCACTTAATCATTTGTTTCCAAAGCTTTCCATTGTACCTCATGGTCTTCCTCCTGCATTTGGAGTTTGCTTATTTGTCATCACTGTATGAGCCTTACAACAGGGGCGCCATTTTAGTTCAGGGTCCACATACAGCCCAGTTTGATTTGAAGTCATCAGCATAATAACCTATAAATAACCACAACTCCTTCCCTTTGTTTTAATGCAAACAAGTACATTGTGAACATTTTTACATTTCATTCATTATCTTTTTACAAACATTATGAACAACCTGACATTTCTTAAGAAAGACAAGTGCAATTCTACAATTGTATTCCTGTTTATCATTTACTTGCATTACTGTCCATGTTACTTGTTATACGCTTGTATCCAAAGCGACTTACATACTCAATACAATCCCCACAGGAGCAATTTGGGGTGAAGTGTCTTGCCCAGGGACACAACGGCATGCTGACTGCAGTGGGGTTTGAACCTGTGGTCCCCTGATCCGAACACCAACGCACAAACCACTGCACCACACGCCTCCCCGCATTACAACTCACAGATCACCGTGTCTCTACAGAAACATTTAGTCACCGCCATCTGGAACTGAACAATATAGTATTTTACTTTGTGATCAAAAAACTTGATTGACTATTATATTACATTCATTTCCACATCTGCATAGTAATCCTGACCACCTGGACTCACCATACAAACTCAAGTGGAAACTATTAAGGAAGAACGTTAACCCTCTGAGGTCAAAGCCCTTTTTCCACATGTGCTGCATAATGAAGTCATATACATACCATACCAGCTAAGCTATCAGCATATGTAGGCTACAGGGATGTCACATGGATGTACAAATAGTTATGAGACCATAAGTACACAATATATGTATTCAAAGCCCACGGTGAAAGTAGTTTACAAGACTCTTGACATCAGAAAATAGTTATTTCAAGTCTTGGTGACCATGGAGAAAAACTAAATATCTCAAAGCACAAAAATCAATATGTATCTACAATATTTACAAAATAATTCATGGCGTTATTATGTCAAGATTGTTAGCTGTGCCATTCCTCGAAGCGGTTTCTGTCAGATACATCCTGTGGACTCAGTACATTCCACCTGTTGAGGAAGACTCTGAGATGTGTTCATAAGCTCTGGATAAAAGCTAGCTAGCGTGTAAGAGTTTCTTTTTTGTGCTTACTGCTCTTCAAAGCCCAAGAATGATCTTTAACAGTGTCCTGTGTTAAAGGTCTCCAGTTGTGTTAATTGTAGGGATCATTGCAGCCATATCAAATGTAATCTTTCTGTTTCAATCACCAATAATGGTGACCTCATAGGTTTGTCATAAACTGTTCCAGAAAACATGCACATTGTTGTTTTGTGTTGACATTTGTTTTGAGCTTACAGTATGTTGAGTAGGTAAATTCCTTGCAGGGTCTCCCTCATTCCTTGAGCGACACATTATTTAATTCCTGCACCAGCAACATGACATTCTATCCTTTTCGAAGTGTTGGAAAATATAGTTGAACGGAAACAAATGTGGCCTCAATCCAGACTGTTTTCACAGCGACGGCAATATCCATGTGTCTGTTGTGTTTTTCCTGAGTGCAGACTTCCCGCCCATAGTTACCATGGTTACCCTTCTGTTTATTCTCCGCTGTGGCTTTCTTTCTCCCTCCCCGAGGCAAGCGTTTGCTCCCGCTGCTTTAATTCAATGCAATCCCTCCCCGTCGAGGCAAGCACTGTAATTCTCTCCGGTTAGTCCACCAGCAGATGACAAACACCCACCTCTCCGCCTCTTCCAAGGAACGAGGGGACCGTGCGGCAGAGTTTCAGTTTCAGTTTCTTTCGCCAGTCAAGATGTCCGTTAAAGTTTAAATCTTCCGGACAAAATTAGAAAAGTGCCGGTCAAAGGTCTTCTTTGTTATTTATTGAGCAACAAGCAGCTGCTCTAAAGTCTCCCAGGATTATGTAAGGGGGAGGTTTCAGCCCCTGGAGTCATAATGTGTAGTATGTTTGCAGTGATAGTCTTCCCCTTACTCCTTCTCGTTTTCACATCCCAACATTCACTCTGAGCTGTTTATCCTCAGAAGACTTGTTCTCTCTGTGTGTGTGTGTGTGTGTGTGTGTGTGTGTGTGTGTGTGTGTGTGTGTGTGTGTGTGTGTGTGTGTGTGTGTGTGTGTGTGTGTGTGTGTGTGTGTGTGTGTGTGTGTGTGTGTGTGTGTGTGTGTGTGTGTGTGTGTGTGTGTGTGTGTGTGTGTGTGTGTGTGTGTGTGTGTGTGTGTGTGTGTGTGTGTGTGTGTGTGTGTCTCTCTTTTGACAATAGACCCTCATCTCCTGGGGCGTGTGCTCTTGCTCATACTATGTTATTAGACCAAATTATATTTAGAGTGAACATTCTCAGCGGCTGCCAATAACTGTCAGATTTATAGAAATGTTTGTACCACAATTCAAGAAAAAGTACTATTTATAGCATGTCCACTGCTTTTTACTTACAAGCAGTATCAGTGATAGCCCTACAATTATTATGAATCAAAGAAGTCACATGTGTCAATATTCTTGCCCACTAAAAAGTGAACTATTCAATATTAAATATGTATAGAATAGTGAAAGGAGTGAACAAGAGAGTGAGGTCAGTAACAAGCCCAGTCTTGTCTAGTCACTTTTTACTATAGAACTTTATTTAAAGACTGTACAAGCGCTATATAAATGCATTCCTTTACCATTAACATTTACAATTTATTTGCACAGCAGTCAAAGTGAAAGGAAACTCTACCTTGGTGTATGGAAAAAAGGTGATTTAAGGAACACTTGGAAAACACTAAAATGGTATTTGTGCTCTTCTGTGATTACAGGCAACCAGACAAACTGAGAGTGGTGTGGATCAGGAGAAACAGACGTCACGGCACGAAGGTGAGGAAGCAGAGAATAACCACATGAGAGGAATTCAAATGATCTCACAGGGCTCATATTGGTTCAAATGTCCTTCATTTTGAATGTTATGAGCCCATTACATAGCTGTCATGGGTTGTTATCACCACCATTATAATGCTTCATATGGGCCAATCTGCACCGACCCGGCACACGCTGTGAAAGTGAAACGGTTTAAACACGTGGTCAGCGTTGTGAATTTAAATATAACTTGTTACGTATTTCTTGGTTTAATAAAAAATGGTGGTTTGGGTTCAAATAAGTACTATGGTTAATTAGAAGTAGAATTGTGATGGCTTTAGGTTTCACAAAGGACACTAACATCAGTTTTTTGTTCGACCAGTCATCCACCATGACCTCCTCTATAACCAAATTGTGTCATTTTTACATTACGTTAAGTTTATTCCATAACAATGATTGTGCAATAATCCATTAGTCTAAAAAAAGATGCTTTGTACTAGATAGCTACTAGCTAATTGACATCAGTAATGACTTCTTCTGTTGCTTCCATCATAATGAATACAGCTACTGCAGGTCACCGGCTAACAGTTAAGAACCTCCTGGCAGCGACACAGTTTACCAATAGATTATCATTTCCTACTGAGCCAACTAGGAGGTAGAGTAGGGCCATATTACCTCAAATCAATCAATCACAATTTGATCAGCATATGGCACCCTCTGTAGACCCCCGCACTATTGACAGGGAAAAATGAAAGGAGAGCAACAGAGGAGGGACCCCTCTCCTGGACAGACCTGAAATTGATGTTGAGTTTATAGATTAAAAAGATAATGAATTTGCTATATTAACAGTCCAAATGTTAGAAAAATGCATGTGTTTATGTATAAAAGGAATAGTTACTAACATACATTTTTGGACATAAGTGCAAAAAGAGGTGGACATGACTGAATACAGTCAAAGCCCCCCGACAGTCTAAGCCTTGCAGAATAACTAGGGGCTGGTTCAAGACTAGCCTGAGCCAGCCCTAAATATAAGCCCCCAATAATGGCCTGTTGATATCATTCGATAACGAGTGAACATTTGATGAAATGTGTTCTTGTTTGCATGGTTCCAAGAGTTTAAACCTTTGTATTTAAAGTGAGCTCTGCAAATGCTTAAATACCGACTGAAAAACGTTGACTTTAATTAAATGTGTTATGTCAACAGATTTCACATTACTGTATTACAGTAGGTTAGCTGAAAGCAATAATATGAATTTGAACCTCTTTAATGGTAATATTACTGCAACGTGTCTCAGTGCAGTCCGGAGGACACTGAAGCAGCTGTAGAGACTGAGTCCTTTGTGTCTGTGTTCTGTTCCTCAGCTCCACAGCTGGCAGCCCGGGATCAAAAACCCCTACAGAGGCACGGTGCTGTGGCAGGTTCCAGAGAGTTTGGACATCAACGTCACACTCTTCAAGGTAAGAGGCTGAATCAAAGGAGTAGCATTCAGTCGTTTAATATAACTAAGTACCTAATACTAGTACTTTACTTGAGTATTTCCATGTTATGCTACTTTATACTTCTATTACACTACATTGTGGCAACCAGTATTGTGATTTTTACTCCACTATATTTATCTGACTCCTTTAATTAATATTTACTTTTCAGATTCAGATTATTACTAATACAACAAATAAATACATTCTTCAATAAACTTTGACATTAGATATCCAGCAGCACTATTTAAAGCAAAATGAGCTCCACCTTTACCAGCTGTGATGAGCACATTAATGCTTCAATTATCATTATATGAAAATGTAATATATATGAGTCTGAAATTGGCCGTTATGCATAACGAGTACTTTTACTTTTGGTACTTCAAGTACATTTTGCCGATACTTTTGTACTTTTACTTAAGTAAGACTTTGAATGCAGGAATTGTATATGTATCAGAGTATTGTTACAATTGAGTATCGCTACTTTTACTCCAGTCAAAAATCTGAATACTTCTTCCATCCCTGGTAGCAGTTTATACATTTTTGGATTACTGATGGGAAATGTGTGTTTTATTTGTTTGTCAACAGGAACCTACTGCAGAGGAGTTTGAGGACAAGGACTGGACTTTTGTCATTGAAAATGTGAGTCTGCAGGATCAGGGTTTTCTCATTGAATTCACTTTTAATCAGAACATAATACTAAGGAAGGAAAATGTTTCTGTGTTGAACTTTCTTCTCATTGGTTTTATTTACAGGAGACAAAAGGCCGTAGGAAGGTGTTGGCATCGGCAGACGTCAACATGAAGAAGTTTGCCAGTGCCACGCCGGCCCAGTACGATGTGACGCTGAAGCTCAAACCGATGTCCGTCAAAGTGGTGGAGGCCACTCTGAAACTGAACCTGTCCTGCATCTTCCTCAAAGAGGGCAAAGCCACGTAAGTCATCAACTCGGAAGCATATCTAATACCATCTACTGAAAGCAGTCATTGTCAAATTGTATCCCGGAATTTAAATAAATCTTTTAAAATATTAATACTGATTTGGATTTTCCTTACACTGAAAAAATGCTGCTCCAAAAACAAGTTAAAAAACCTGCCAATAGAACAATGGAAAATGTGTTTGGAAAGATTTCTTGAAATAAGACGGGATATTTACATAATAAATATCTTGCCATTACCTGGGAAAACTTATTTTGAACTATATTTACCAGAATCAATAAATGTTGTGTTACAAAACAAGCCTTAAAAGCTTTCTGTTTTCTGATGTTACTGTCGGTGATTTTCCAATATAAATGTAAAACAAACCTTGTTCCATCTGAGAAATAACTCAAAGTAAGATGTTTTCAAGAGTCTTTGACTTAACAAGATAATTCAGATGCATTGTTTAAAACAAGACCCTATATCTCACTGCATTGTTACTTCTTAAGTTAGTATGTCTTACATCAAGTTTTAAGACATATTCTGACTGGATGTTAGACAAATATACTTGGCAAGATTCCGAGAGTCATCTAATGTTTTGTTCTGCTCTCCACAGAGATGAGGACATGCAGAGTCTGGCCAGTCTGTTGAGCATGAAACAGAGTGACATTGGAAACCTGGATGACTTTGCAGACAGTGATGATGAAGGTGGCGAGGAGAGGAGGGCCAGCTTCGGACCGGCTTCTCATGTCACTGGTGAGACTGATAGTGAAGGTCCTAATTCGACGACTTAAAGTTGATGAGATATAAGTACTGATATGAGCTGAATGAGATATAAACGGAAGGAAGCAACTCTTGAAACAGGAGTGACGCGATCTGATGGAGGAAACCACATTATACCCTTTTGAGTATACAATCTTGACAAGGGTTATTAAGCCACAGCTGATTAAATCTGCCGCTGTCAAAGCTTATAATTATAACCTGGGAAGCATCGCTCAGTCCTGGCTCAAAATGAGAAGCTTTCACCCAATGTTTCTATTGCTTATTTGTATTAATGTACACACCTCCAGCTTTCTAACTGCCTACTGTAAAAACTCTTTTTGTGCGCTCTCTACTCTCTAATGAAATTCCAAGACCCATACAATTTCTTTGTCTATGACATGGTATCCTGCCTTGTTAAAAGACCAGATTTGAGTCCCCACTTGCCTGTTAGATCATTTGTTCGGTCTTGGATGTGCGTGTGTTTTCTGTCAGTCCATCTGTCTGTTGGCAACTAATCTCACATACTACTCGACCCATCAGTCTTATATTTGTCATGCTCTTTTATGACTGAATGCTCAAGGAACCTTTCTCAAAAGGTACTTCTGGTGTCTGTTTGGTTAAACACTATGCCTTCCCTAGTCTGATGCAGGCCTCATTATTGCTTTTTTCAACACATAGCCCAAGCCTGTGGACACCGGCTATAACCTGCACATGCTTCCAAATGAATCTGTTTCAAACAAAGTGTTGCTGTAGATTAAGCAGGGGAATGTGTGCACTGTAATTTGCAGCTTCCACACTACAATGTTTGCCGTCATCTCTATTAACTTTAAGGAGTCAGGAAAGGATCTCCCTTTCACCTTTTATATATCTCTTTCAATTGTTTCCTCTCCAGCTGCTTACCCTTTTGTTTCCTATGTTCAAAACTCATTTCCCTTTTCACATAATCTGTATGTCTCCTGTTCCTTCTTCCTCTAACAGCCTCTGCTTCTTCTTTCATGAGAGTACATGATTTGGCTTGGAGGCCTGCAATGGAATCAGGTCCTGCAGGTAACTGTGTGTCCACGGATCCACTGTACCACCTTCCGATTGCCAAATTGCACTTTGTTTCATCTTAAAGGGGCCCTATTATGCTAATGTTCAACTTAATATCAGTGTTTAGTGTCTCTACTGGGACATGTCTCTGCTCTGATTGGTTAGCTGGTCGGCTCTGTTGTGATTGGTCAACCTCTTACAGATGTACCACCCCTTAGCCTATCACGTACAATGTGTTGGAAACTCCCCCTGTAGGGAACACAGGGATTTGACCATTTACATGCACAAAAGACATCTTAATTCATCATGCACACTACAAGAAAGCATGGTAGGGCCCCTTTAAGCATCCGTTTAATTTATTTAATATGTTTATATTAAAAACATATTCATGTTTGCCAGAAAAGCCAACAATAAACACATACCCACTATCACTGTCCATCTCACTGCTCTTCCCCTTTTCACTTCCTCACCTTCTCGTGTGTTTCCGCAAATATGCTGTACAACTCATTCCTACATCTCCACTTTCATCTATCTGCATTCTGTGTTCAACTGCTCTGCCCATCCTCCTTTTTCTTATTTTCCTCATTGAATCCCTCTTTCCATCTTTTCTCTTCACCCTGTCCTTCCATTCTGCTCATCCTCAGAGATGGATTGGAAAGCGACCTCTGGCATTTCCTCCACCATCTCAGCCCCATCTCAGCCTCCTCTGCCCAAACCCCCAGACCCCCCCGTTCCATCCTCTCTATGCATCCGACCACCGAGCACTGGCCCCCAGGCCCGGCCCTCCCACTATGCCTACTCACTGCCAGCCTTTACTCGTGCTCACCCTCCTGCACTTCCCAAAATCTTCCAGCCCGCTGCCGGATCAGGTATCGGTTACCTGATATTCCTCATCCTGTGTGGTCACTCAGGGTCAGATTTGATGGTCCTACACTTCTCTGTTACTTGTGGAATTTAATTCCTACCACTCTGCACTGAAAAAACCTGAACCGTTGACTTTAATTTGATGTATTACGTCAACACATTTCACATAACTGTATTAGGTTAGTTGAAAGCCATAATATTAAGTTGAACCTAAATTAAAGTCAACGTTTCCGTTTTTTCAGTGTGTATGGTTTCCAGGAATATTAGATATATATATATATATATTTGATAACGTTTCTCAGCATCGGTTCCATGTACATACTGTAGTTCAAATGTTCATATCCAGTCATTCATTGCTGATGTTTTTAAACTGAATCCAGTTTCTAATTAATTTGTAACTAGTTGCTTCCATTTGCTGTCAATAATTCAACACTTTAAGCACAGGTTTTCCACATTAGGGGCTTTCCAGCAGCTAAAAGGACATCACGTTAAATTGACATTATTGAGTTTGAATTGATGTTACGATAAAAACAGCAATATGAATTAGGGCTGCTCGATTATGGCAAAAATCATAATCTCGATTATTTGGGTCAATAATTGATATCACGATTATTAAAAACGATTATCCATTTACTTTGAAAACATCCATTTATTGAAAAAAAGGTTTTAAACTGTATGTTTTTAACAGTTGATTACCCTGAACTTTAAGTATAATTCAACTGAAAAACAAAAGAAATCAATAATAATAATAATTTAAAAAAAAATCAATAATCGTTTTATTTCGATTATGTTGTTTTCATAATCGTTGCAAGCCAAAATCGTAATTGCGATTAAAATACGATGAATTGAGCAGCCCTAATATGAATGTATTTCTTTGAGCTTGACACTGACATTATTGTAACTGGCTGGTCCTGTAGTTCAGCTCGTGGGACTTTAGTTTGTTTTTGATTTAGACTTGGAACTGGCCTAAAATCAGATTGAATCAGATCTGGATTCTTCACCACATACAGAAATCAGTGTCATTTAATATATATACCTGGGTTGATGGAATCAAATGAATAGAAAGTCCATGAATTTAAAACATGTGATCTGGAGTAATGTAATATGTTGTAATTTGAGTGTCCTGCCGGGCTGATAAGTTGGAATGCCCTCAATTTGAGTCTTTCATCCTCCAGTCATTGTCTCCATGAGTAACCACATTGTAGTGACAATGGCCTCTCGCTGACAATGTGTGTGTAGAAATTCCTCCGTCTTTTAACTGGTCTCCATCACCATCCACACACTGTAAGGCAGTGGTGTAATGTAAATAAAGACATTCACTCAAGTACTGTACTTAAGTAAAAATATACTTAAGTATTTTTACATTATTCTATTTAATACTATATTTTGTAGGCAAATGTTGTCTACTTTTATTTTACAGATTTAGTTACTAGTTACTTTCCAGATTTAGGTTATTAATACAAAATATAAATCAACACACATTATATATTATTATAGGTTAGGCTACACAGTAGTGTATAAAGTAATTCATAAACCCACCTTAACCAAATGCAACATTGAAGCGATGAACACATTATTGCACCAATAATTGTAATACATTTAAAAAAATTATGAAAACAATATCTGGGGCTTTCCATAGCAGGTTCTTTTATTTAAAGTATTTTTGAATTCAAATACTTTTTGACTTTTACGTAAATCACATTCTGAATAGAGGACTTTCACTTCTAACTGAGTATCTTTACACTGCAGTATTGCTACTTTCACTTAATTAGAGAAGTAGAGAGTACTTCTTCCACCTCTGCTGTAAGGCCAGTAAAGACCGGTGGCTCCATTTGTGGTTGTTTTAGAGAAGTGGTTTGTCAGGGAAAGCTTGCCCACATTGTGGCTTCACTTTTCAACACTGAGTGATGTCCTTTCCTCTTCCTGTCTTTGCGTTTGTCTTCCCTCTCTCCCCTTTCCTCTCACTTCCACCACTTCCTGTCTGCTATCTCTTCAGTGCCCATTTCAGCTCCGCGGAGGCCCCACAGCTTCCACAGTGGCTCCACTCCAGCTGAGGGCCTGGAAGCTTTTACCTTCACCCCTCCTAAAGCCACCTCTTTCCTCTCTTCCCCACCCTCTGATCCATCTCTACATACTCCCACTCTCCCTGGTACCTCCCAAACAGGTATTACATCATTCAATACAAAGAATGTGATTGGTTTCTAATCGACAAGACTATTCAAATGACGGTATACATATGGTGCTGTTCAGTGGTCTTAATGAGCTTTTCGGCCTGATGCTGCATTCCCATTCAATAGAGAAGATGGACATAAGCTCATATTTAAAGATATACCATTCATTCAGCTTTGATCTGTCACAGGTATATATGCTGTGATGGAGACATGACACCCATGTACATCTTTGCCCATTTTACGCTGCTATGACATTCATTTAAAGTGGACCTATCATGCTATATTTGAATAATATAGTGTAGGACCATACCTATATTCAGGGGTGCACATAACTGGTACGCAGGTACGCATGCGCGGCACAAATCTGAATTGCGTAACGTCACTTGTGTCACTACGCGCCTTTGCGTACCTCAAAACATCAAAACAAAACACATATTTCGTCTACACGTGTTTCTTGTCAACACTCAATGGAGTAAACTACTAGGCATGTCAAAAAACCCAAAGACATTAAGCAGCTACGTTGCCGTTTCGCTCCCTGCAAAAAATCTTTCTATGACTGATTGAACTGGAGCTGGGTGAGCCGCGCAGGACATAACCGACGGACCTGTGAAGCTTTCCAGGAGGCACAGGCTTAGATGACTGGACGACAGAGTTGGTCGCCGTGTGCACAGACAGGGTTAACGTCGGTATAAACAACAGAATTGTGCCAAAAGTCCGCCAACTGGCTGCGGTGGGAGACTCCCCTGTGCACATTCTGTGCCCCGCGCACACACTGGAGAACTGCGCAAAATCATCTGATCACAACGTTCACGCTCTGTGGTCAAGCTGCTGCAGTTTTATTTACACCAAAGTGGAGTGAAACACACAGCTGCAAACTTACTCAGGGTGTTATGGAAGAGTTTGAAATCAGACAGAGGTGGAAGAAGTACTCAGATCTTGTGTAGGAATACTCAGTTACAGTAAAAGTCCTGCATTCAAAATGTTACTCAAGTAAAATTAGAAAAGTATTATCAAAATATAGTGAAAGTAGCGACAGTAAAAGTATTCATTGTGCAGATTGGTCCATTTCAGAATAATATATATGATATGTTTTATAATGATTGATCATGAAAGTGTTCTCAAAGCTGGTAAAGGTGCAGCTAGTTTGAATGACTTTGTATACTACAGGGTAGCTTGTGAATTTACTCCAGGTGGAACTAAAGTCTGATTTAACACTTGATTATATTTCACATCATTCATCCACATCTGTAAAGTAACTAAAGGTATTAAATACATGTAGTGGAGTAAAAGTAGAAGTACAAAGTAGCATAAAATAGAAATACTCAAGTCAACTACAAGTATCTCAAAATTGTACTTGAGTAAATAAGTGTGCTTTGTTACTTCCCACATTTGAAATCAGATATGACTTCAAGTCATGTGATCATTTCTTAGTATTTGATCCTTCAACTTGGCCTCAGGAAATGCAAGGACTTCACAGTTTTGGCAACAAGTTTTGGAGAAAGCAAATCCGAGGCTTAAAAAGAGACAGGGAGGTGCATCTTCATCATCTTCATCATCTAGCATGCAAGAAGTGTAAATTGAGGACAGTGAAGGAGACACTGAGGAGGACCACGCTTCGTGTGGGGTGAGTACCAAACGCTGTCTCTTGGTACTCATCTGAGTAACTCACTAAAAAAGTTATGTGCACCCCTGCCTATATAAGGCATATTTATACTTTTTTTTTTTCAAAATACCAAACAGATCATGCATTTTAGCCATGCCTCATTTTGCTCAATTTGAAAAATGTTAGCTCTGTTTTTGCAAGGGCAGATTCTATGAGAACAGCACCATCTACAGGCCTGGCATATGTACTACAGCGTCTCCAGCGCTTTCGAACGGCAATGGCCGTGGCTGTCTCCTCCTGATTGGTGGAGTTGGCCCAATAGCCGTAGCGCCACTGTCCTGACGTCAGGACAGTGTTCAAATCTGGATCAGTTTTTATCAGATCCGTTGCAGCCCCTTTTTTAGAGATTTGGGTATGGAGGAAAATAGAGAGGGTTGTGTTTTCTGACACTTGGTGAGTTCCCTGGAACACCGGGGACACATATTCATGTATAAAAGACGTACAAAAGTGCATTTTGCATGATAGGTCCCCTTTAAGTGCATTTTTAATACAATCAATTAACAGGGACTTGAACACTTATTTGTATTTATTAAATTACAAATGATTATTCTGTCTTTATTTCATTTGTCTTGCTTTCTCAGCCTGTCCCAGTGTCCCTTCCTTTTCTTCTCCGTTCTCCTCCTTCGCTTCATCTTCAGCTCCTCTCAGTTCCTGTCCTCCTCTACCTCCTCTACCTCCTCTGCCTCCTGCTCCCAGAAACCCTAAAGCTCGCCCCCTCTCAGTGGGGGAGCCGGGCTCTGGCCTCACCCGGCCCACCAGCCTGCCCTCGGCCCCTGAGACAGGTACAGGGAGGGTCCTGTCAGAGGCTAGCTCCCACCTTCCAATTCAAATACCTGTCACTTCTGTTTCTCCCTTCATCCCTCCATGTTTTTCCTTTCTCTTCCCTTCTCTTCCCAGCTTCCTGGCAGAGTGAATGGAGGCCTCCTAAATCTCAGGCTCCTCTAGCACAACCTGCCATTTCTCCTAAGTTCCTGCATCTCTCTGCCAATGACCCTGGAAAGCCTGCAGTGCTACAGAAAAAGCCGATAGAGACGCCATGTAATGCTCCACCTTTAACCCAGACCACACTGTTATCCAGCCTCACCCTCCCTGCTCTACCTGTGTGTCATTCATTTCCTCTTTCCTTATCTAAACCCAGTTCCTCCTCTCCTGTGCTAACATGTTATTTACGTATTTATATGGTGCTTTAATTCATCAGTCGGACTTTAGATAGAATGAGTTGAGATTCATTTAGATTCACTGCTTATTTGATCTAATCAAACAGTGCCCAAGTGGATTTCAACAGGTCAAGATTTGGTCATGACTCTCATTGGATTTAGATTTTTTCACATGCTGTATTTTCCTTTTGACTCAATTCCACATACAATTTCCTGCTGCCTTAAATACTCACTAGAACACCAAAGTTGGATCAATCCGCAGCTGAAAATAGTCCCATACAATTGGACTATTTGATTCAGTTGAAAGTTTGTTAAAAGCTTTAGTGGCCTGCTGTTTTAGGAAACTACTGAGTTAAGGAGAAATATTAAAGAGGTCCTATTCTGCTGTAGGCTTTTAAGTGGTCTGCAAAGGTTCAAATGTTCTTTCTTTAAAGAGTTTCTTTATAGAGGGGTAAGCAAAAGTCATCCATTTCATCCATCCCCATCCCATGCTTTTTCCATTTCTCTTGTGCTGCTTCCTTGGACATGTTTTCATGTTCTGCACTACCTGTTGTCGTCTCTTTGCTAGTTACTCACTGAGCTAAGTGACTGACAACACAGGAGAAAATGCTTGCTGAACTTATTTATCTAAATATACTTTAGTTATGTGTCATTTATATTCCATCTTCAATTCCCTCTATCCTTTTCCTCCTTCCTCTTTCCCATGTGTTCCTCTCTGTCAGCTTCAGTCTCTGTGCACCCTGGTCCTTCTTCAGAGCAGACACTCCAGGGAGGCTCTGCATTTGTTCCGTCCAGGAGACCCCAGGTCCCTGCTGCACTGCAGACGCCCTTACCTCCTCTCAGTCCTCCTTCTGCTCTCATATCCTTTGGGCCTCCTCCTCCTTCTCCTCCTTCTCAGCCTCATATTTCCCAAACTGCCATACCTTCTCACAGTGACCAAGATGCAGGTACAAAATCAAAAGGGATGCTACACTGAGTGACTAAACCTCAGCAATATATGAGCACATGTCTCCCCCTGCTGGTTTCCCTCATAAAAGCAGAGCAGAGCATGGTCGCATTTCAACATCAAGCTTTTTGTGTGTAATCTCTCTTCGATGTTTTCTTTTGATTTCAGAATTCAAAAGACAGTTGAGTACGTTAAACGAAGAGGACAACCAGTCTACAACACCTACAAGTGAGCTTGAACACACATTGAGTAGAATACGTTTTTATGGACTACACAGCTTTTTAACTCAAACAAAAATCCCTTTATGTTGTTCAGCCCCTGATCCCAGATTGCCGCCTGGCTTTAGGACCGAGTCTTCCAGGGCTTCAGAGCGGAAAAGAGACGCACAATTTGGATTCGAGGTTGTTAAGGCATCAGCAGGGTGAGTTCATATAAAAGGTTGCTTTTTATCTGGTTTGGTGTTGTTTTGAACATTTGGTGTGGTTGGCATGGCTGTAAAGGAATAATCCACCCTCTGATACTCCAACACTTGTTTTCAAAATGTTGGATGTTTTGTACGGGTTGCATATGTAAATAGTTGAGCAGGGTTGTTTATTTGAGACATTGGAAGTAGCAGTTTGATTGAGAACATTGGGATAGGGCTAGTAGAAGTATCTCAATTTGGCATTGTTGTGTCTAACATTTTGGAGCCTCTTCAAAATTATTTATCAGAAAATGTCTTAACAGGCAGGATTTTGTGAAACCCCAAGAGCAACAATATTAGGGCCCCCTTTAACCTAGAGAGAAACTCCCTCTGGAGGGAACACAGGGATTGTAGCCTTTGCAGACCATTTACATGCACACAAACCCTACAGGGAAGGGACAAACCCAAACATAAATAAAGGATGTAAAAGCCATTGACTGGTTGTTTCCTTCCAACGGTGTGCAACATTTATTCATTTCAATGTGTGAAGCTTAACTAAACAACCGGTGATGCCATTCCGCTGATCAATGAGACTTTTCTTTGTCTTGCCTGACAACTATTTGGCATTTCTTGTATTGATCCTGGAGAAGTACAAAGCAGATTGCTGCCATGTGTATTTAACAATGTTCGAGCATTTGGGGTAGATTCTTCTTTTAGTAATATGATTTCCATTTAACGCTAATTGCACTGCATGTTATTGCTACCAACTACCAACAATGATAATGTCTTGTATGATATATATATCTATTCCATACTTACATTTGGCAACTATGGGATATAGGAGATAATCACTGGCTGTATGTTGAGAGAAATGGTTATTTTTTATAAACATTTTTCTATCTTAACACGGGTTCTTTTTTGCTTGACCCTACACAGACAAACGTATTAACTTGGTTCTATGTGGAAGCTAAAGTTTGCACTAAGTGGTTATCATCTTTTGCAGATTGCAGTGTTACAGGAATATGAGACTCAGTTTCAAGCTTTTGATGCTTTGTCTGACACACAATGGCTCTGAATCTAAGGTTGAGCTAGGCTGGGTTTATATGAGGTTAGAGATTATTAGTCTTGATGTATTCCAGTCATTTCTGGTGAAATATGGTCTACAACCTTCATCATAATGAAAGTTAAGCACAAAAGACTTTGTTCAGGGCAGTATGGTACCTGGGACTGCCAAAGCAGACCTGATATTTATACAAACAAAAGATTATACAGATAACATATTGTAAACTTGAGGAGATAGTAAATAATGAGATTAAAGCAAAGGAATGTTTTTGATAATTGAATCAAATGACTCCCTCCACTATGGAAAGGTTTACAAATCATTATTTGCGTGTGCAGGTTTGTATTAAATGATATGTAAGCATGCACATTAGTTGAAAAGCTTCTATGTTACCTGAGCAGTGCAAAAATGGTAGAACCAAATTAAGTAATTGGCTTGGGAAGAGCCACATATATTTTCTGAAGTAAATAGATTGTAAAATGCTAATTCAGTTCCATTTAACAGAATTAGCAAAAGGTAGCTAAAAGAGGTAGCTAATGTAGTGTAGCATGTTTTGGCATGTATTTGCCATTAATTGGTCAGGCTTGGATTTGCAGTTTTGGCATAAGACACTTAATCCCACACAAACACACTCCTCATTTGTTTGGTTTGAAAGCAATTCTGGGAATCTTACAAATAATTTTGTCTCAAACTCGATAACGTTAACTAGAGAACTCTGTTACGTTATATAGAAAACTCTATTAACCTCAGACGGCAACAAGACAGAAAATAAGAAGTATGCTAAGCTCAAATATATAGCATTAAAAACGAGATATAAACATTTATTTTACATCATATCTTTTTTTAAATATCTTGTTATTTTCACTGTAAATCTGATGAAGCAAGACCTTGATTCTCTCTGTTGAGCTGCTTCTATATTTTGGCTTTGTTTCAAAACATACAAAAGATGTGTTATTACGCTGCTTGTTCAGTTGCATGTGAAATAACATAGTTTATGCGATTTTTAAAAAGCATTCTTTAAACGTTAAAAAATAAAGGAGAGCACCCCAGTCAAAGTCATGTTGATGAAGCAAGTGATCTGGCAGTGCATTTTGAGTGAACGTTATACTTTTCAAAATTGCTGCCTAGCAAGAAGTGGCCATTCCTTCTGTGGTTCCACGTCACATTGCTAATTTGCTTGTTCGCTTCAGTGGAATTCTGTGATTATACATGGCCTGGATATGGAGTGCATTACTGCCGTGGGGACCTTCCTGATGACGTAACAACATAACTCAGATCTTCATTTGTTTGTCCCTCAGACCTGAGAGCATGGCCTCACTACAGCCACTTAGCCCCAGCATGCCCGTAACCCCAGGGCTTAACTATTTTGAGATGCCAACAACAAAGATGGATCAAACAGAATCATTGCCAACAATGAAATTACCACAAATCCAGCCAACAGTACCTCCCTCCCTTACTGCACCTAAGCAATACCCTGATCCTCAAGTGAACACATCTGCTTCAGTCAGGGAGGTCCTGGATAACCCAAGAAGTCACAAGAAGTCCAAGATATCCATTCAGTTAGGGAATCCAATAGCCCAACCAGAGCTGGTTAAAAATGTACCGTTTACTCCTACCAACCCCCAACCTACTTCCAGATCACTCCAGGGAGCTTTGTTGCACTTCCCTCAAACTGCTGCAACCTCTGACACAAAAGCAATAGAAGTGACTCTTAAAAAAGAAGCTGTAACTATGGATTTGGGGTAAGTTAAATACCCATTGTATTGCCTTGAACATGCATCTCAGTTCAGTATTAATAAACTTAACACAAAAAGTAAGGACATTTGTGTTTGGTAGATTATTTCATTGTGGTATCAATGCTTTTTGGCAAACAATCTTATACCATTGGAAAGCCTGTTTTCTTACCTTTCAAACGGTGCCACATTTGTGAGGAACATGCATTTGTGGGATGAGCAGCAGAGCTGAGTATGTGGGGTGCGCCCATGGAAAATGGGACAAATCTCCTCTGCCAATGCCAAACAGCTTTTTTCTGTTGACTCTTGTTTGGTGTTGTTTGGTGGATTGGATGATTAAAGTCTGATGAAACAAGACTTATTGGCAACAATGTATTTATTAATAATTGATTAATTTAACAAGCAGCCTCAGTAGCGTGTGGAAGAACCAAACACAGCCACAACAGCCTCTCCTCCTCATGCTGTCACCAGCCTGGTCACACACTGCTGTGGGATGGCATCCCATTCTTCAACCAGCATTTGTCCCAAGTCAGCCAACGTGGTTGTGTTGGTCACTCTGGACAGCACGCCCAAGATGATCCCACAAGTGTTCAATAGGGTTGAGGTCAGGACTGCAGGCCATCCCATCCTCTCCCCTCCTAGTCTATTGGTGCAGCAATCAGCAAGGCGTTCTCCACGTCTTCTCCACACTGTGACCCTACCATCCATGTGCCGTAGGCAGAATCTGGACTCATCGCTGAACATAATGTTCCTCCACATGTTGAGGTTCCAGTGCTCTGAACATAATGTTCCTCCACATGTTGAGGTTCCAGTGCTCTGAACATAATGTTCCTCCACATGTTGAGGTTCCAGTGCTCTGAACATAATGTTCCTCCACATGTTGAGGTTCCAGTGCTCTGAACATAATGTTCCTCCACATGTTGAGGTTCCAGTGCTCTGAACATAATGTTCCTCCACATGTTGAGGTTCCAGTACTCTGAACATAATGTTCCTCCACATGTTGAAGTTTCAGTGCGAGTGGGCCTGAAGGTGAAGGCAGTCATGGCAGTTCTCCTGGCAGCCGTACGAGACCGGAGAGTGGCTGCTGTTTGGCATTGGCAGAGGATATTTGTCACATTTTCCATGGGCGCACCCCACATACTCAGCTCTGCTGCTCATCCCACAAATGCATGTTCCTCACAAATGTGGCATAATTTGAAATGTAAGAAAACAGGCTTTCCAACGGTATAAGATTTATTGCCAAGAAGCATTGTTACAACAAAGAAATAATCTACAAAACACAAATGTCCTTACTTTTTGTGTTAAGTTTAGTTGCAATGCAAAAGTATATAAAGATGTAAACAGACTTTCTAAAAAGAACACCAGCCATTTGACAACAATCTTTGGTATACTTTGTTCCTTCAGAAATGAAAGAACGTCTGCCTCAGTGTCATCTTGTCTCAGAGATGCCAGTTCTGCTTCTTCTCCAATGGTTATGAACAAAACACCTGATGTTCAGTCTGGAGACTGCTCCATTGTAAAAAACCAAAAGAATAAGAAGCCAAAAAGAAACCCAAAAAAAAAAAGCCCTGTTCCAATACCCGTCATGGACCAGACCACTATCTGCAACAGGACTGTTTCAGACAAGGTCTCAGCACAGCAGGCCACAACAGACAATTTATTAAAACAAAAAGAAGATTTTAAAGTAGATTTGGCATCATCCTACAAAAAAAGCTTTGATGCACATGGTTTGGACCCAGAACATTGTATGGCAAATGGCAGAACTGAAAATGATGTGAGGTCAACCAATGAAAGACCAGTGTCTGAAAAAGATAGCAGTATTATGGGGGGACATGTGGTACCAAACCCTGTAGTCAGTGTAGAGGAAAAGTGTGTGTACATATCTAAGGTGGACGTTGGTCCATTGTGTACAACAGGGTTTTCTATTCCTCATTCGCCGTCCACTATACAACCTAAAGTTCAGATTGAAGGAACAGTGGCAAGTATCATTAAATTACACTCAAGCTGCCCACAATATTCCAAGATTCCTGGCATGCCGTCTGTTCATCAGTCGCAAGTTATTACTTGGCCTGCTGATTGCAGGTCATTGTTTAAGGAGTTACCCATAAACAGACTTCCTTCACCCCTGTCTTCAGATTATGTTAGTTCCTTTTATGGGGGTAGTGCAGGGATTGCAAGTATGGTGGACTTAACTCCGACCTGCCCCAGGTCTGCAAGTATTCCTGGATTCCCATCTGCTTTAAAACGTGAGCCAAATATGACTTGCCTTTTACCTATATGTCCCAGAGCGTGCAGCATTCCAGGTTTAGCTGCTGCTGGATCAGCGACTAGATATGAAGATATGGTTTGGGACAGATGTTCTCTATGGAAGAAACCATTGCAGATAAAAGAAGCATTTATTTCGCAAATGTCATGTGTTCAGGAAAAATCTGTGGGTGATACTAAAGCCATGGTGGCTATGTTGCCAACATGTTGTACTAGGGCCAGTGTTCCAGGGTTTCCATCTGCACGTCTGCAAAATGTTTCAAATACTCCAAGTATGGCCAGTCTTCTCCCAACATGCCCCAAGCAGTCAATGATTGTAGGTATGCCAAGTAATCACAGATCTATGGTATATAGTGATACATGGCATATTTTGAGGGAATGTATCTTAGACAGACCATTGAGAGGTTATACTGTTCTGGTTCAGGGAAAGTCATATGAGGATAAAGAACATTTTAAACATATGGTAGATATGTTGCCCTCATGCCCGTCGAGAACTTGCCTTGTAGGTATGCCCACAGCACCCAAGAAGTGTTTACCAAGTATTGTTAACCTTGCACCTATATGCCCTAAACAGACACAAACTGTTGGTATGCCATCTAAAGATCAAAACAATTCTGAGAACAAAGATTGGCGTGCCATGAAACGATTCATTAACAGAAAACCAGAGAAAATAACACCAACTTACATTGAGCAGTGGATACCAAAAGAAATTCCTAAAGATATGGTAGCTATGTTGAGAAGCTGCCCACAAAAAGCCAACGTTGTTGGCTTACCCTCTGCTCCACAACAAAAACCCAGTATGGTTAACGTAATGCCTTCATGTCCCATACAAAGTAGGGTCCCTGGTTGGCCTTCAAAAACTGGACAAAAACTTGGTTTGTCCACTTGCAATGAATGGTTTGCGGATAAAGGTTTACAGTGCGAGAATCCATTCATCAAAAAGGAAGTGCACATTCTGAATTCAGTTTTGTGTTTTGATAAGAACACTACTCAAAGTATGAGTGCAATGTTACCCTCTTGCCCTGAGAATGCTAGGGTGCTTGGGTTTCCCTCTGCTCTGACATTAGCAGATGGTACAACTATGGTGAATGTATTGCCTAGTTGTGCAAAGGAATCTAGAATTTCTGGAATGCCAAGCAGAGACACCGGCAAAAAATTAGGGTGGCCAATGGAAAGTAAGCCACTGCTACTCGCTAAGAAATTATCTGCAGCAATGTTAGATTTACAGGATGTTAATATGTTCTATTCTGATAGAGATACACTCATAAATATGGTATCAATATTGCCCTCCTGCCCACAGACAGCCTGTTTACCAGGTTTTCCATCAGTGCCATGTCAAGTGTTGGCAGATATACCAAATATGATAAATCTGCTACCTACTTATCCAAGACATTCTAGGGTTCGTGGAATACCCTCTCTACTCTACAGTGAGGCAGAATGGAGTGTAGACAAAAGCCCAATTTGGGAAAAACCATTAAGGAAGCCAGGTAGACTGTCAGTAATAAATGACCATAAAATGCATTTCAAAGAAAAGGTGTTGTTAAGAATTATGGTATCAATGTTGCCACCCTGTCCGAAACATTCATGTATACCTGGGATTCCCTCAAAGGCTTTAAAGAGACCAGGGAAAGTTGTGAGGAAAGAAGCTCCCAGTATGTTAAAATCCTTGGCCACTTTTCCAAAACACAGTAACATTTCAGGTCTACCTGCAAAGAATATTGCAAAGGACTCTGATGGCTGGTATATGGATAAGGATGTAGTTTGGGAAAACACATTCAATAGAAGGCATGGAGTTGTCCAGCAAGATTTACCTGTCAACGAAATGTCATATAGGGACAAATCAATAATGCTGAGTATGCTTCCATCATGTCCACGACAAGCCCTGAACCCTGGGTTTCCATCTGCTCCACGACCCAAAGCTGTTGATGACATTGTGGAAAAACATCCAGAAATGTTACAGTTGCTGTCATGTTGCCCACAACAGTCACGTATCATTGGTTTCGCCTCAAGAGTTTCAATTATTTCTGATTCTAAAGTAGTGGGATGGCCAGTGGTGACAATTAAGACGCCAGGGGATCTTTACACCACAGATAGTTCTAACAAAGATATAATAATGGCAAGCGTTCCTCTTAAACGTCCTCTTACAAAAATGTCTCTCAGTTCTGGCTTCACACCAGTTCCACCACCTGGCGTAAACCGCCTAGCAAATATGATAAATATTGTGCCATCTTGCCCAAAGAAAGCTTCTGTTCTTGGGGTACCATCAACACATGTGCATCATTCAGAACAGGGTTGGCCAGGAACTAAGATAAGTGTAAAGCAGAGGACAAACCTCATGACTTGTAAGCTTTCACTGAAAGAACAGCAAAGAATGGAGATTGAGTCATCAACCTGTCCTATCAAGGCCATTGTTGAGGATTTACCAGCATCAAATTCAGAAATTCAAGTGCACCAGCAATCCTTCATAGTTAATGGGAGTAACATATTATGGGATGATGCCAGTCCAACTAGATTAGATTTTGACACAAAGAAAACGAAATCTGATGTTTGCTCAACTTTGGAGGGACATAAAGATGAACGGGGCTTTTGGATACCGATTAAGGAAGAAGAAGAAATAGGGTGAGTGAGATGGAGATTTGAAGTTGGAGTTCTCTCTGTGATGTCAGCGGGTTAGTTTTTGAAACATTTGCCTTTTCAAATGTCTTTTTCAGAAATGTGCATTGCAGAATGTGGCACTCCACTCCTGACATGCCACTTATCTTGAGTGTTAGGAAGAGGTGGGTTGCCTTGGCTTGCACTGTGATGCAATGATGTGATGCATAATGCATTGCCTTATCTCAACACAATCTGACTGCAAAATGTGCATTTGTTGTGTGTCATACTTTGAGTAATTCTGTGGTTTACATTATACCGTTTTTTCCTCTTGTTACTTGTATTGTTTCAGTCCCAGAGGTCAAAAGCATATTCAAGAAAAACAGATATTAATGTAAAGAAGTAGAAACTGCTGTAGTGAGCGTGAAGGGTCATGGTATCATACCCTTAGAAGAGTCAAATACTCTACATACAACTTTGCCAGTAGAGTCATTGGACATCATTCCTAAACCTTATGACACTGTGGATCAAGGGTGTGTTAGATATTCTGATAGAGGGTAACTGTGTGAGAGGCTAATACACAGCCTCTGCTCTTGTCAGTTTGATATTGGTGTATTGTTGTTTGTTGCATGGTTAGTCGTTATAATGTCCACTGAAGTTGTAGCAGTAGTGCTAGTGAGCAACATGGTTTGACAAAAACTATAATGGCAGTAAAACAAAAGTGCAAGTCAGTTTATAAATCCATCCTTAAATAAATCGGAATAGAAGTCAGTTTTCAGCAAATCATGAATTATTAAAAACATTTTTGATAGTTTTTTGTTATTTGAAGAGTTTTAAATGTTAAAAATTAAGATTTTCTACATAACTCGGGAGGTAAAAACTAAGTTATCCCAGAGATGTATAACAACATCCAACATCGTAATAAAAAAAAATATTTCAACGGGAAGACAATAATGACTTTTAGGAATTGCTTTTTGATATACTTTATTTGTTGATCAAGTCTAATGTTGAAGGAATGTTAACTCGGTACTAATGCTGGCTTTACTGCAGTGGCTGTTACATGTTTATTCAACACAAACAAATACTGTGGCATGATGTTTTGTTTGCAGTGCAGCTTTTTTAGCTCAAGTGAACGGTTGTTTTAATACAGGCTGTTTGGAGTGAATATCATTTGTTAAAATTGCATGCTTGAGAGTTGATTATTTGTCTTAAGAATGATGATGAGAAGTAATATACAGTTTTTTATCAGTCATTGCTATCATGTGTGAAATAGATGTATCTTTCTAAATAATTCATTGAGGTACACTGTACCAGGCTTGCATTAAGTTGTGATAAATGTATCTAGAATTACAATATAGCTTATAGAAAGGCTCTTGTACATTATCATTATTATTTGGTATCTTTCAACAATACACTTTGACCTTTATTTTACCTTCTCTTCAGACATGAACACTTGGGTTCACTACAGCCATCATGCCCAATTGTTGCTGGGGAAGAAGAACCCCCATCCCAAACCAAAATAAATAATGCTGAACAGCAGTTACAAAGACATCCAACAAACACGACTATACTGTGGGAAGAGCTACCAAAGTCGACTACAATAAAATGCTCTACAGACAAGATCATATTATGGGAGGAGCTACCAAAGGTGACTACAGATGTTTCTAGAAAAGCATCAGAGACTGAAATGAAAATGATAAAAGAAATGGTCAGTGTCTCTTCAATGATGTTATACACTGGTAATGAATTGAAGACACGTACGGAACCTGGGATTGCAGATCAATTACCAATTTGCCCAACAGCAAGCGGCATATTTGAATCCACAGCAACTAAACAAACAGATCAAATCCAGCTGGACAGAGAGTCTACTTTCGAGACGCCATCAAAGGATAAGGCAATGGGAGAAAAAAAGTTTGCCTGCCCACCCACACAATGTGTGCCATCTTGCGTGAAGACTGAAACTGAATACAAACAGTCCACTTTCTCCGAAGTCTGTCCCAGTCGCACAAGAATTGCTGGCATGCCGTCTAAATTGCCTGTAAAAGAGAAACACTGGCTCCTCGATCCAAAGCCAATCTGGGAGAAACAATCAAAAATAAATGTAATATTCATGCCATATGCATCAAAGGATGATAAAAAGGACACAAAGGAAATGGTCTTAATGCTACCCTCTTGTCCCAGAGAGGCCAAACATCCAGGGTTCCCATCTGCACCACGAAACAGTTCAAATATGGCGGATAGTTACCCTGGTAGTTCAAGTGTGTCCAGTAAAGCTGGTTTACCATCTATCAGTAACAGATCATTGGTATCTCAACAGGAACCACTTCTGCAAAAGAAAACTGACCTTGTTGTCGTACCAGCGTCAATAAAAGAAGAGAACATTGAACTAATGGGAGCTTTGTTACCAACCTTCCCAAAATATTCTTGCATACCAGTCATCCCTTCAATTCCACAACATACTATAGCACATTGCGGATCAGATATGATGAGCCTTTTCAGCTCTTGCCCCAAAACTTCTTGTATTGAAGGTGTTCCATCATTAAAAGAACATTTGAGCAAAAGCTGGTCTACAGATCACAAACCTTTAGTGGAAATATATTCAAAAATACATGCAGTCATGATTGAAGAGAGACCTTACCATGAAGACATGAGGGCCATGTCAGCTTTAGCTCCAACTTGTCCAAAAGAAGCTTGTATCCCTGGATTTCCTTCTGCTCAGGAACCCACAGTAAGCTATAACAGATTTAGTAGGGTCAATCTCCTTCAATCCTGCCCAGCTACCTCAAGTATGGTGGGTTTTCCTTCGATGCAGAACACTGACAGCAAAGATTGGAACACTGTTTATCAGCCATTATGGGAGAAGCAAATGAAACGGGAATCTGTATTACTACTGGGGGACGATAACATGGACAAAGACATGAAAGGAGTTGTTTCTCTTGCACAAAGTTGCCCAAGAGAATCACTCATCCCGGGCTTTCCCTCTGTCCCTAAACCGAGGAAGATTGATGTTGTTGACATGACAAATATGGTCAGCCTTTCAAGCTCATGCTCACAAGCATCACAAATACCCGGATTTCCATCATCTCATACTTCAAAAGATTGGAAAGTGAGCAGGAAACCACTATTTGAACCACATTTGAAAGAAAAGCAGGTGTTGTTGATTGACAAATGTGAAGTTCAAAAGAAATCAATGAAAGCAATGTTTTCTCTTGTACCATCCTGTCCAAAAGAGGCACGTGCACCAGGATTTCCTTCTAATCCAAATTACGGAACTGTGTGTAGTGAACCAAATATTATCAGCCTTTTTACATTGTGCTCACAAGCCTCCAAAATACCTGGATTTTCTTCAGTTAATGTGGATATGAGTGTAGGATGGGTAGCAGAAAAGGGCTCATTGCTGAAGAAGTTACCAAAGAAGAGGGTCATATTTGACACACCAAATGGCAGCAAAAAGATAATGAAGAATATGGTTTCCTGTGTACCATCCTGTCCTAAAGTGTCAAGTATCCCTGGTTTCCCATCTATTCCAAATCCAAAAAAGGTGTATTATGGACTAAATGTAGTCAACCTCCTTCCCTTGTGCCCCTTGGTGTCTATCATACCTGGATATCCATCAGTCGAAGATCACAAGGAAGAAGGATGGGGCGCCGAACTGGGTTCATTGATGCAAAGACCTCAAAAGAATATTCCGTTTCTGAATAACAGCTCACCAATTAATGTAGACAAATCCAAAAACATGTATGCTTTGGTTCCTTCTTGCCCAGTATCATCAAAGATTCCAGGCTTCCCATCCGTCTCTCAATACAATATGCTGAGTCTTGTACCTATTTGCAACAGAGTGTCCAATCTCCCTGGATTTGCATCCTTTGTAGGGGCCTCAATATTACAATGGCCTCCTAATCCACATGCCTTGTGTGATAAGCCTATAAAGAGCACTGTTTGTGTGATACACAGTCCAAATCAAGATGTAGTAACTGCGAAGACGATGTTTGCCTTAGCACCATCTTGCCCAGAAGCATCCAGAATCCCTGGCTTCCCCTCGGCACCTCAAACTAAATCCAAGATTGAACCCAATATGATAAGTTTTGTACCTAGCTGCTCTATTGCTTCAAGTCTCAAAGGGTTTGCGTCCATGACTACACACCCAAGCACAGGGTGGCTAAATGAAACAAAACCAATTTTGATAAAGCTTCGGGAGAAGAGGGCACCGATGATGATGTCACTTGCTGGACAGGATGAGCTAAATTGCTACAACATGAAGGGCATGGTAACATTAGTGACAACCTGCCCTAAAGAGGCCAGAGCATGTGGTTTCCCTTCTGCTCAAGTTGTAAACAGACCACCAAACATGGTCAGCTTATATACATCTGCACCATGTGTTTCATGTATCCCAGGATTTCCATCATCTCATACTTCAAAAGATTGGAAAGTGAGCAGGAAACCACTATTTGAACCACATTTGAAAGAAAAGCAGGTGTTGTTGATTGACAAATGTGAAGTTCAAAAGAAATCAATGAAAGCAATGGTTTCTCTTGTACCATCCTGTCCAAAAGAGGCACGTGCACCAGGATTTCCTTCTAATCCAAATTACGGAACTGTGTGTAGTGAACCAAATATTATCAGCCTTTTTACATTGTGCTCACAAGCCTCCAAAATACCTGGATTTTCTTCAGTTAATGTGGATATGAGTGTAGGATGGGTAGCAGAAAAGGGCTCATTGCTGAAGAAGTTACCAAAGAAGAGGGTCATATTTGACACACCAAATGGCAGCAAAAAGATAATGAAGAATATGGTTTCCTGTGTACCATCCTGTCCTAAAGTGTCAAGTATCCCTGGTTTCCCATCTATTCCAAATCCAAAAAAGGTGTATTATGGACTAAATGTAGTCAACCTCCTTCCCTTGTGCCCCTTGGTGTCTATCATACCTGGATATCCATCAGTCGAAGATCACAAGGAAGAAGGATGGGGCGCCGAACTGGGTTCATTGATGCAAAGACCTCAAAAGAATATTCCGTTTCTGAATAACAGCTCACCAATTAATGTAGACAAATCCAAAAACATGTATGCTTTGGTTCCTTCTTGCCCAGTATCATCAAAGATTCCAGGCTTCCCATCCGTCTCTCAATACAATATGCTGAGTCTTGTACCTATTTGCAACAGAGTGTCCAATCTCCCTGGATTTGCATCCTTTGTAGGGGCCTCAATATTACAATGGCCTCCTAATCCACATGCCTTGTGTGATAAGCCTTTAAAGAGCACTGTTTGTGTGATACACAGTCCAAATCAAGATGTAGTAACTGCGAAGACGATGTTTGCCTTAGCACCATCTTGCCCAGAAGCATCCAGAATCCCTGGCTTCCCCTCGGCACCTCAAACTAAATCCAAGATTGAACCCAATATGATAAGTTTTGTACCTAGCTGCTCTATTGCTTCAAGTCTCAAAGGGTTTGCGTCCATGACTACACACCCAAGCACAGGGTGGCTAAATGAAACAAAACCAATTTTGATAAAGCTTCGGGAGAAGAGGGCACCGATGATGATGTCACTTGCTGGACAGGATGAGCTAAATTGCTACAACATGAAGGGCATGGTAACATTAGTGACAACCTGCCCTAAAGAGGCCAGAGCATGTGGTTTCCCTTCTGCTCAAGTTGTAAACAGACCACCAAACATGGTCAGCTTATACACATCTGCACCATGTGTTTCATGTATCCCAGGATTCCCATCAGCGAGGACGCTTAGTTCTGAATGTACAAATATACCATCTAAGACAACACACAGCAAGCCACTGTTTGAAAAGCGGCAGATTGAGAAGCATCTAGTCATTGCAAATCTTCAAACCAAAGAAAAACATGAACAAGATGAACCAAAGTATATGGTAGCAATTGTCCCATCATGTCCGAATTTAACTCGAATCCCTGGGCTCCCCAGCATTTCCCAACTGAGTCCAACAGAGAAGGAAACATCGACTATTCCATTCCCTTGTTGTACAGAAAGGGTTACACCACATGAATTGCCTCATGTACAGTCAACTCAGTCGCACCTCAAGGACCCAATAACTCCTGGTGTTCCCTCTACATCTTTTAGCCTCCCCAGCACAGAACTTGCAAATGGTGAGACTTTCAGTGTGCACTTTCAGGTCACATTCTTTTTTCTTTATCCTATCTTGTTTAGTGTATTTGACTATGTTTGCTTTCATGACAGAGGAGAAATTCAAAGGCAGTGCAAAGCAAAGCATAGACCTATGTGTCGATCATGGGTAAGTAAAAGAGCCCAGTGCTCTTGCATTGTTTGCTGTGAAAGAGGTCAGTTTAGTGCTTGCCTAACATGGACTGTTTAGACCAATAAACCATTACTCTAGTGAATTAACAATACAGTGCATGGTACATTCCTGTGTTTCTGTGAAGTCTGTATTTCATTACATCTTTTATTGTTTTGCTTTCGTGACCTATCTGGATCATTCTTTAACATTCGATGTATCTGGGTCCTCAGCAAATCACACATAGAAAGGGGTGTTGCAGAGAAAGCCCAGACAAGGAAAAGAACATTGGACCCATCAGACCCAGCAGGAGTCTTGGATTGGGAAGTAGTGGAGGCAGAGGGAATAGTTACAGAAAAACAGACACAATCCTCTTTGTCAGCAAAAGAGGAAGAGTCTTCAGGATTAGTAAATGTTATTGCGGGTGTTTTCCACAAAGGGTAAGTGTAGGAATGCTGTGAAATGAACTGTTTGAACAGCATGCAACATAGTGTGCATAAATCATTTTGTAACCCTACATTTCACGGCCCCCTTATCACACATTAAGCTCATTCTATTTTTAAGTGCAGATTTCAAAGTTTTGGTTCATATTCATCTGGATACATTTGCATGGGAATTGATTCTACTTTCTCCGATACTTATTGTTTCATATAATTACCTACATGTAAATGGAAACCATTGCTTCCACATGGTTCCAGGTTTCACTTACTTACTCCAATATCCATGTCTCGCAGTTATGAAACGGTAGCATCCATTTTGGGGCCATCTGGCTCCGCTCTAGCTGAAGTGGAGCACCAACCGAAGGCTGTCTCTTCTATGAATCTGAAAGACAAGACAGTGATCCCTTCAGATGAGTCTTCAACGCATTTTGTGGACAACACTACTGCCATACAAAAGATAGAGGGCCAGTTTCAAGACGTTCCCCCCCCAACAGAACACCGAATATCTCACAAGTGCTGAGCCTTACATGTTGGACTCTCCATCACCACCTCCCAGCGAAAGTGATGACGGGATTTCGGTTTGTGTAAACATGAAGAAATGGCCACCACTGACTGAGGCAGATATCTCTAAAATATCAAAGGAAGATGGTGAGCAAGTACAAGAGGCATTTCTTGATCATACAAAGGAGAGATCACTCACAGGGCACGACTCTGATCAAACACCTGTAGACGATGAAAGTTTGTTAGCGAGGCACCAGACTGAGACAGAACAGGATGAGGTTAGGACAGTGTCAACTTCTCCACAGCTGGATAAAGGGTGAGTGCTGGGGGACAATGACCCATTTAAGTGTTTGGTTGCACGGTGTGGTAGTGTACATGTTCTGCATTTTTGGCGATAACATTGTTTCTTGTTCTGCTTATGAGCACTTACTCCTTCGGAAATCGTAATGGACAGCTATTTGTGATGGCAATAAAGATTGGCAATGTGAATTGTAATTTTGCCTTTTTTGTTGCGTTGTACGTAGATGTGGTCTTTATGTCCTTCATGTGCTGCTTTGTATTTTCAATGAGAGTATGCATATACACAAAGCTGAATATTTACAATGACAGACAGTTTTTCGCTTTGCAATGCGTAATATGATTAGGATGCTGTCTTTCTGGTTTGGTTTGGATTATTTGGTTGGAAATGAGGTGCACCGTACAACTATGACAAAATAAAAAACAGCACTTTTTTGAAGCTTCTCCTTTCTTTTCTTTAAGACCTCAACAAACAAATATGGAAGGAGTTTCTGCCACTTCCCAGCAGCCTACATCAAATGAGTCACTGACAGGTACAAATGTTCACAAGGAGATGCTCATGGACAAACCTGCAGGTTTTCAGGACATAAGTCCAATTGGACCACAAGCTGACTTTGCTGTCCCTCAGCGAGGCAGAAAGCCAAAGAGGAAAGTTCCAGACCCTCAGAAGAAAAAGTTTGATCAAAAAGAAGAAACAGTACCAGTACGACCTCTCCGACGGAAGGATAGTTTGACACCAGACCGCAAACATAAAACTGATAGTTTGACAGTCAAGCCCCTACCTGAGGTTGTTCCAGTCCAGTCTGAAGGAAGAAATGCTGCTGATGAGATACAACCTGCAACTGATCCATGTTGCAACCTCAACAAACAAGACGCAAGCACTGCTCTTGATGTACCTCAGAATGGTCATGCTCAAGATGCACCGAACACAGGGGACTATAGGCAGAAAGAAGAAACAAAATCAGTTCAATCTATTGTTGTTGTTGCACCTCCTCGTGTGAAAAGGAGAGATAGCAGTTTGCCACCTGTAAAGCCTCCGAGGAGAAAAGGAAGTGTCACTAGAGACTCATCTGTTCGAAAAACTAATGACCAACAACATTTGAAAGCCCAAGTCAGTTCTTCTTTGAAAACTACAGATCCAGTTTCTTCTCAACCTTGTGAGAGTAGCTCTGGCGCTCCATGTGCTGGGGAAGATTCTGTTGGGAGTGCCTCTCTGCAGACAGACACAGAACTGGTCTGCTCAAAGCAAACCTCTTCTACCCCAGGATCGCCCAAGAAAGACAGTAATACAACTGTCCAGGCCTCTTCTCCAAAGGAAATTGAGAGCATCACACCAAAGCAAGAGCCAGATACATTTTGTGCTAAGCAAACTGCTTCTCTCTCCATTATCAAAAAGATACGTCTTCCAAAACGCAACAAGAAATTGACCTCAAGCAAATCTGGCAAAATTGAAACTGACAAGGAGTCTGTAAAACCCGTCCAGATCGAAAACGCAATGGAAGAAATAAAGCAGGCAAACAATGCTGGTGACGCATCTGTTGATAAAAGCAACACCACATATTGTCAGAAATCACAGGATGCATCAGAGATAGCAGAATCAGAAATGGGCAAACAAACAACCCTTCAAACCGTTACAGCTAGCACGTCTACAGTTTCTCATGTTGAAGATGCAGAAAGGGAAGGGTGTCCTTCATCCCTTTCCTCAACAACTAAAGAATGGTCAATGGTGCAACACAGCAAAGGTGTCCCCTCTCCTCTGGGTGATAAACCTTCTACATCTACTGAAGAAGATGCTCCTGTAAAGTTGAGGAGAAGCAGGTTGATCATTGAAAGCAGTGTTCAAGTAGAGGGTGGTCATATTTCTGAGAAACCATCTGGAGCTTCAAGCTTGCCCGTACCGAAACCACGAGTTAAGAAACGTCTTAGTGGTTCCTTTCCAGATGACATTACAATCTCTGGTTCATCACCTTCCTGCCAGGAAGACAAAGTAACCGACAACACTTGTCTTGGATCAGTCCAACAGAATGAACAGTCAAGCTTGCCTGTGCCATTTCCACGGGCCAAGAAACGTCTAAGTGCAACTTATTCAGATAGCCCACCACCTGTAGACAATGCATTCCCCATAGAAATGGAATTATCTCAGATAAACCTTGAGGATACATCTGCCACTAGCAAGGAAACAAAGGAAGGCTCAACATCATTGGATTCACGTGTGATCTCTGAAGTCCCGGTCGAAGGAGAAGATGGTGCTGCTGCATCAGAAACAAAGGAAGGCTCAACATCATTGGATTCACGTGTGATCCCTGAAGTCCCGGTCGAAGGAGAAGATGGTGCTGCTGCATCAGAAACAAAGGAAGGCTCAACATCATTGGATTCACGTGTGATCTCTGAAGTCCCGGTCGAAGGAGAAGATGGTGCTGCTGCATCAGATACAAAGGAAGGCTCAACATTGTTGGATTCACGTGTGATCTCTGAAGTCGCAGTCGAAGGAGAAGATGGTGCTGCTGCATCAGAGTTGGAACAGGGAATGCTAGAAGCAATGGGAGAAGAGGACTTTACTCTGGTAGACTGTGTTGAAGATACTGAGAAGGCATTGGATGAAATCATTAAAGGATGGACCTTTACAGAAAAACCTGTTGCAACACGTGACTCAGAGAATGCTGCAAAGTTGGGGTCTGAGCAGGCGGACATTGAAAAAGTCCTGGGAGCAGAGGTCGATATGTCCCTTGCTTCCACTGTTGCATCTTCTCAGGATGACTGGCTGCATGTAGCCAATGATAAAGACAATGATAAAGACAGTGAACTAACGGAAATAAACTCAAGGAAGGAAATGAGGGACGAAGAGTTGGACTTTGGCTTTGAGTCTGTAGATGTAGACACTGGTTGTTTACAGGAGGAAAGGTAAGATTAGTCAGTACACATTTATTTGTGGGGGTGGGGGTGTAATCATATCTGACTAACGCTGCACAATAGAAATTCTCATTTCCATTCATTTTTTCTAATGATCTAATATGGTATTTTTATAAGGTTTCAATTGTGAAAATCATCAATAAGCAGTGTTTTGCTTTTCATCAAATTACTTATCAAATATTAGTTGAACTTATCTCTTGCTTTGCTTTGTTTTTGTGTGTCTTTCCAGGAAAAGAGAGAAGTCAGCTGCTGCCATCCATCAAGGGGGTGAGCCAACGACACCTCCGAAAATACCTGCAGATGGGGCTGCCTCTATGGAAGTAAGTTGCACTTATCAATAAATATATATCTTTAAGATTGATCAAAAACTGTTTATAAGAAGATATCACCTGGAGTTAACAATTATCCCCAACTTTGCAATTCCCTTCATCTTAGCCTCTTTGCGTTTTTTGTTTTGGTTTAATTACCTGCAAACTCTATTTTAATCAACCTAATTACCAGCAGCAGAAAATATTGATGAACCTACTATCTACCTTCCCAGCACCAAACAGCAGACAGACACAGTTAGTGACTTGGCTTACTGTGGTAGACGCGTTACCATTGTTACATTGTGTTGGGCTATAGACAGAATAAATAACTTGCATTTGGCAAGTGTGTTTGTCTCCAAAGTGACAAACACACGATTATATAATAGTCTTCATTCAGTCACAAGCTCTAGCTCACTTAATAGTTTGGGGATTATTTGGTCTTAAATGTAATTAACATTTCAATAATTCACAATAATTGTCATTTTGTGTGTTCTAGGGCTTTTCTCCCAGTCCCAGTTTAGTAACATCCAGTCAGTCTCTACTGGACTGGTGTCAGGAAGTCACACAGGGTCACAAGGGATTGAAGATCACCAACTTCAGCACCTCCTGGAGAAACGGCCTCGCGTTTTGTGCCATCTTACATCACTTCCAACCAGAAAAGATGTAAGAAACATTTGAAAATACTCGGTCTACAGGTAAAAATTGGATTTTAATCTTCTAAATTCACCATTTATTTTGTTTATTTTTTGTCTTTCTTTGTGTAGTAATTATGAAATGCTGGACCCCTATGACATCAAGATCAACAACAAAAAGGTGAACTGTTAAATACATTTCTATCACAACCTTACAGTAATGTCTTTGCATGTGGTAATTCCTAATCTGATCTATTGTTCTCCATTTGGCAGGCTTTTCATGGCTTTGCAGAACTTGGCATATCGAGGTTAATGGAGCCTTCGGACATGGTCATGCTAGCAGTGCCTGACCGCCTCATTGTCATGACCTACCTCAACCAGATCCGCACCCATTTCACGGGCCAGCAGCTCAGTGTGCTCCACATAGAAAAGGACAGCAGCGAGTCCAGCTATGCAGTAGCAGGGGACAGGGATGTTCAAGAGGACCCAGAGGCCACCGCTCGCTACTGCGCCCAGAGGCTACAGGAGGGGGGCATCAGTCTGGAGACCAATGGGACTGCAGCTGCAGCAGAGTCGGACAGTAACACCGGGGAGGTCCTTCCACCTCCCAGAACCAAACGGGTTGCTGGAGCAGGTGGGGCTAAGTTACCAGTGGCCCCACCAAGGACTCACTTCCTGTCCAAGACTGGTTTCTCTCATGTCAAAGACGCTGATCTGGTCAAGAAGCGTAGGTCACAGCGAAGGAGTGGGTCATTAGAAGAAGGAGACATATCAGTGGTATTGTACCTACTCGTTTATCCCTTTTTATTCTTATCATTACATTTTTCTCTTTTACTTATCTGTAATATATAACTTTTTGTGTCTGCAGGTTGTTGAGGGGCAAGAAGACAGTATAATCAGTCGGAGGAAGTCGGACACTGGTTAGTCCAATTTAAAGAACAACTGTCATATATCCATCTGTTATTTATGTTAAAGATGCGTCTGGTGGTGTTCCCTTTCCGGTTTTGGACATCAAAGCATGTAAACATGTCACAGTAGAGGCACAACATACAAATATCAACCTTTTTTAAAATTGTATTTGGATGTGTCAATTTGTGACGTATTTCCATTGTTTAATTGAAAGTTGTTCAGCATTGATTCATTCGTACAGTAAGGTTCTTTTCATCTACTCTTATCCAATACATCTTGTGTTCATCTTACAGAGAGGACAGAGGCTGTGGTTGAAGAGGGGAGGCCAGAAGGCCAGGTCAGTACAGTTTGTTTCATTGTAGGGTTACATATCTAGAACTGACTCCAAGTGTATGTAGGTAATTGTGTTTTTTTGTTTGTATGTGTGTGTGTTAACACATCCAGGACCCCAGCCAGTATGTGCTGAGTCAGATGGAAGCCCTGGAAGCGGAACAAAATCATATTGATAACAGAGCGGGTGTGGTCGAGAGGAAACTCAGACAACTGCTAGAAACAGGTAGGATAATCGTAAAGTATTTTATAGCTACACATGTGTGCACAATAAATGACATGCATTACGAGTTATGGATTATCAAGTAATATTTATGGGAATGAAGTACGCATTGTACTTATTTATAGGAAGAAATTGGTTT